CCAGTTCTGGTGTGGCACTGTGGGTTAATGCGCCAAACTGCAAAGCCATTTGAACTGCAAGGTCGGCGGTTCAAGCTCACCAGCTGCTCCTTGGAAACCCTATACAGGGTCGCTATGGGTCGGAATCGACTCGACAGTACTTCACAACAAACAACAACAACTCCGAAGTGAAAAGCCAGGCGTTCATCCGTATTTGAACAAAACTGCAAAATCTCCAAGGGAAATTTTTTCATAACTAAACAGCTCCATTGGAGTCCCGGATGGCACTGTGGGTTAATGTGTTAGACAGCACAGTCAGTTTGAACCTCTAAATTGGAGGTTCAAGCTCACCAGCCACTCCTAGGAAACCCTACACAGGGTCGCTGTGGATTGGAACCGACTCGAAGGCACTAAACAACAACAAACAGCTCCATTAGATGTCTCACTTTTAGAAAAAGTGTTTTAAGGATATACTGCCTTAGCCATATTCTATGAGGAGAAGGTATGTCTACAGCCCCATAAAAACCAACTGAGCAGGATTATCAGTGTTCACTCAAGACTTTATGATCTACCCTAGTATTGCCTGCTCCATATTGTGTGTACCACAGCAGCTAAATATGTGTTTGGCGGGGAAAAAACGACTGGTGCAGGAAGCCACTTAATTAAACAAATAAATACATAAATGAGTCCTGGTGTGGCGCTGTGGATTAATGCGCCAGACTACAAAGCCGTTTGAACTGCAAGGTCAGCGGTTCAAGCTCACCAGCTGCTCCTTGGAAACCCTATATAGGGTCGTTATGGGATGGAACTGACTCGATGGCACTTCATAACAACAATAACATCAATTTAAGTAACCAGCGCCTTCTATATATGCTATCTCTTTAGGGTCAAGATACAAGCTAAGTGTTACAGCCACTGGATTTGCTGCTCAGTGACCCATGACCACACGTACAAAATAGCAAATCTATTTGTAAGAGACCATGTTTGCTTCTTCTGTGTATGTAAAACAGTTATTTGAATAACTTGTCCTCAATTGCATCTGCTTTGAGTGGACAAACTGAAAAGAAAAGGAAGAGAAAACATACATGTTTGACCTCTTTCAATATTTGGATTGGCGTTCACTTACAATACACTTATATATACACTGAACCAACCCCTTCATTTTATGGTTTGCATAGGGTTTGAGATGACACTTCAAACATGGCAGAAATTAGGATTTTAAATGAAACAACGTTTGTGAAACCATTGGAAAACATTTATTATACTGAAATGAGTACAACCTACTGTTAAAAAAATTGCTGGTGCCATAATTGAACCTGTTTCACTAGGACAGCGTTCAATACTGCTCAGTATTAGTTTTGAGTTTAATGAGCTTTTTTTTTTTTCAACTTTTTATTGTGAATTGAGTAAAGTTTTAGAGAGCAGATCATCAGTTTTACATTCAACAAACTATACACTTTGTTTGCTTCACTACATGGTTACAATCCCCTCCATGTACCAACAGTTAACAGTATTTACCTCTATTCACTTTAACTACTGTATTCTTCCCTGTGTCTCCCACTAACTTCATCTTTCCTCTACTAACCTTCCTCTTGTTGTATATTTCTTGTCCTGTCAGCCATGTTAACCTGTGTCTACCCTTTAGATTAAGGAGCTCTGGTAGCATAGTGGTTACAAATTGGGCTGCGAACCTTAGCAGTTCAAAACTACCAACTGCTCCGTGGGAGAAAGATGAGGGTTTCTGCTCCCATAAAGATTTACAGCCTCGGAAACCCTGTATAAGGTCGCAAAGCACATCACTACCACCACCACCACCACCCTTTAGACCATGGATAATTTTCCCTTCTCCAACCCCATAACCATCATAGAATGTTTCTTTTAATCAAGAAAACTTATTTTTTTTTTTACTTTTCACAACATTTGTCTCATACAATGTTTGTCCTTTGGTGATTGACTAATTTCATTCAGCATAATGTCTTCCAAGTTCAACCATGCTGTGAGGTGTTTCATAGACTTACCATAATGCTTCAACATTTTGTAGTATTCCATTGTGTGTATGCACCAAAGTTTGTTTAACCATTCTTCTGTTGATGGGCATTTAGGCTGACTCCATCTTTTTGATGTGTCTCTTGTAAATAACATATTGAAGAACCCTGTTTTCTTATCCATTCTGCTCTCTGTGTCTCTTGACAGGCATATTTAATGCATTTACATTCAATGTAATTATCGGGTATGAATTGACTATTGTCATTTTTCTGTGTGTGTTTTTGTGGTGCTGCTGGATTCTTTGTTCCACATAATTTCCTATGTTGAGTTCATTTTTTGTGTGTTTTTTTTTTGTTATTTTCATTTCTTCTGTGTTAATATTTACTAAATCTTTCACTTTCCTTTTTTTATTTTGATGTGCAGGTATATTATTTTTATTTGAGGTTATTATATAAATTATTAATTTTTTCCATGCTTAAAACAGTCTGTTTTATCTTGAAATTTACTTGACTTCCTTGCCATTTGGAAATTCTGTATCTACACTATCCCTTTTTTTTGCTTTGTAGTTGACTTTATTATACTTTGATATCTATTCCCTGTTTTCAGTCTTGTAGGTTTGTTTTACTTTAAAAACTTCTATATCTGGATTGAGTTCTGGGTGGTGTTGTCAGGAATGGTGATCTCAGGTTGTTGTCTGCTTTTGTTGATTTTAAGTTCAAAGAACACCCTTTAGCATTTTTTTGTAAAGTTGGTCTGGTTATTACAAATTCCTTTAATTTCTGTTGATCAGGAAATGTCCTTATTTTGCCACTATATTTGAGGGGTAGCTTTGCTGGATATATGACTCTTGGTTGGCAATTTTTTCCTTTCACAGTTTTGTGTTTGTTAGCCCATTGCCTTCTTGTCTTCATGGTTTCTACTGATAAATCTGAGCTTAGTCTTATTGAATATCATTTGTAGGTAACTTTTCCTTTTTTTTCTGAGCTGCTGTCAGGATTCTTTCCTTGTCTTTGACTTTGAAAAGTTTGATTATGATATGGCTTGGTGATTGTTTTTTTTTTTTTGGATCTATCCTGTTTGGGGTTTGGTCAGCTTTTTGTATGCTTACCTTCTCGTCTTTCATTATGTTAGGGAAGTCTTCTTCAATTCTTGGGTGATGATGGAAATATGTTGAGATGGTGCTTCTTTGTATTAAATAATTAAGCCACTTAATAATTAACCATAAAATGTCAAAAATTTGCCCATTGTATTTTGTCTTTTGGGAAAGATTTCAGACTCAAAGTTAATCATTCCCATTTCCCTCTGAATAAAGATGAAGATCAAGTCATACGTTCAAAGCCAGTCTTAAACCGTTGTTTTAAAGTATAATACTTTTAGAAGTCAAAATCACCTGGCCTGTCTCTTCACTTTATTACACACAGTGGCGGAGACCAAGAAAGTAAAGCTGCTTACCTACAGTCACACACCTTCTATTCTGAAACTGGCCACCAGAGATATTAAACTTTTCATTTTGATTATTGAATGTTTTTAATTTGAAAAACCCTAAATGATCAATTGAACTCTTATTATTGTTGTTTTAAGTGACTCAAACTTTATTCTCCTTGTGGGATGGAGATCATTGGTGGGACAAGTGGGCTGCCTGGTTCTGGGCTTGGATTTGGTGCTTTGGGGATAACGGTGTCACAAGTATGGATCTACAAGAATCTTAGACATCTTTCTCTACTCCAACTTAGGAGTTAGAAAGTATGTACAGGGCACCAATGATTCTGCTGGAAATAAACCCAATGATTTTGCATCCCCTTCTTTCTCTTTAGTAATGAGATGCTTAGGTGTTCCGACCCGTGTTGTATCTAATTTCCGGTCTGCACACAACATGGATGGGAACCTGACCATAGACACCTACTATGACCAAAATGCAGAGATGCTGCCCACTCAGAGACGAGACAAAATATGGTAAGGGGCAGTCTCAAGCCAGGTCTCTTCCTTACCCAGGCAAGGGTAAGAAAACGTGGACCTAATTCTCCTTGGCCCTTGAGATGATACTACTCTGTACATTGCTGGTGTTGCTCAGAGAATAATTTGCCAAACTAGGAGGCTGCCTTGGTTAGTTGGATCATTACATCAAACTCATTTCAAAGACAGGAGACTAGGGGATAACATTCTGAAGCCAGTGACCAATTAAATAAACTGTGTATTCTGAGGACTAAACTCAACATCTATATTCATTTTAATTCTCTTCCTTTAAGTCTTTTGTTTGTGCTATTCTCTTTGTCCCCTGTCAGGAGCAGAGCCTGGACTTGCTATTTCTATTTATCTTTTCCTGTGTCTCTTGACTTCTCCCTGTCCCCCATACTTTCTGAGCATATGTGTGTGTGTATGCCTTTTAATTTTGTATCTCTCTTCTCCTGCCCTCGTTTCTTCCTCCTTCTCTGCTCTACGCCAAATTTGGTGTCCTGTATTTCCATTTCCAGCCAGTTCCTAGGTCATCCCTGTGAATTATACTCAGAGTTTTGAATTGGTTCAGTCATAACCAACAATTAAATTGGAACAGACCAAATTTTACAATTTTGGAGTGCAGTGGAATAACCAGAATGGGAAAAAATTATGGTTAGAGCCCTGAGATGAGAGACTTAGAAGAGGCCTAGTGAACCCTTTCAGGAGCCTGGTGCAGAAGATTGGACTACTGCCACAACTGTGGGGATCTACCTTCAAAGCAGCATGGCCAGTCACCATCTTTGAACAGGACACCGTTGTTTCTCACTTGGCCAGTCAAGATATTTGGTTACTGCGTTGTGTGTATACTGTCCTTGTTTTCTAAGAGGAAAATTAATGTTGCAGTTCTGGTTTACCTACATTTTACGGATTCTTGTCCATTCCAGTTTTGCTTTGTTGTCTAGGAGAAAAGGAAAACTCTTCTGCAGTGGGAAGAGCAGAGTCTCTAAGTCCTGATTATATGAAAACTAAATGCTATAAAGAACATTGTTAGTTTAATTGATAAAATTGAGATAGAGTAAATTAGATCAGAGTATTATGTCAATATTAAATGTATTGAGGAGGGTAACTGTGCAGAGATCCCTAGTCCTAGGACATACACACTGAAGTATTTAGGGATAAAGGGCCATAATGATTTCAATTTACTTTCAAATTGTTGTTGTTATTATTAAGTGCTGTTGAGTTGGTTCCGACCCATAGTGACCTTGTGTAGAGTTTTCAAGGAGCAGTTGGTGGGTTTGAATTATTGACCTTGTGGTTTGCAGTCCAGTGCTGATTCTATAGTGCCACACCAGAAGTCCAAATACTTTCAAATAGTTTAGAAAAAAAAAATCCATATCTGTATCTATATCAAAAGAAAGCAAATGGTAAAGCAGGTGTTAGCCTCAAAATGTTAGCCTCATATTTTAATTGATAGATGGTTTTCTTTTTATTATTCTTGCAACTTTGCTGTTTGAAATTATTTCAACAAGAAGCAGAGACACAAAATAAGAAGCAATGATACCAAGCACTTAGTATCTGGAAAATCCTCAGAAAATATGACTCCTTAGCTCTCTTTGCAGGAATTTTCATGTCTGGAATGAATGTTGGATGATCCGGAAAGATCTCCCACCAGGATACAATGGGTGGCAGGTTCTGGACCCCACTCCCCAGCAAACCAGCAGTGGTGAGTGAGGACACTGTAGAAGGGCTTGGGCTCTGTTGGGAGGTTGATAGGGTGATTAACAGTGAGAGCAAGAATCCCCTCCCCTCTGCCCCTCACTACCCTATCTCCTTACCTCCACCACAGAGACCAGCTGACCCTTCCAGTCAGCAGGCATGTTCCACAGCTCTTGTTCTTTCCACAGGGCTATTCTGCTGTGGCCCTGCCTCTGTGAAGGCCATCAGAGAAGGGGAGATCCACCTTGCCTATGACACCTCATTTGTATATGCAGAAGTGAATGCTGATGAAGTCATTTGGCTCTTTGAGGATGGCCAGGCCCAGGAAATCCTGGTTCATGACACCAGTTCCATTGGGAAGGAAATTAGCACCAAGATGGTAGGGTCAGATCAGCGCCAGAACATCTCCAGCTCCTACAAGTACCCAGAAGGTGCCTGGGGCCTCAGGGATTGGGGTGGGGGAGGGAATTTGTGCCACCTGCCAACTAAGTTAACTCGCATGTTAAAACCATCATCACCTAATCACCTTTTCTCACAACAAACTCTCAGGAGATTTAGCAAATCAAAACACAAGGTGTCCAGTTAAATTTGAAATTCAAATAAATTTAGAGAAATGAACACTTTTTTTTTTTTTTAGTATAAATATTTCCCAAATATTGCATGTGATGTACTTATACAGGGAGATGACTTAAAATGATCCAAAAAAGGCTCCCAGGGCAAGATGGTGGAGTGGGCATCCATACCGAGAAGCCCCTCTGCAACAAGGACATGGACAACCAAGTAAAACAGAGGTGGATGGTAATCCTGGAACCCTGAGCTTCAGAGGATAGGCTGGAGAGATGGATGAGTACCTACCTACGGGGAGAGGAAGCTGAGTATAGTGGTGAGGAGGAGATCGGCTAGTAGGCTATCACCTGGCATGGCATGGCAATCTTGAGCTTTTGTGGGCAGCTGTGGATATAGTGGCTCCATGGCACAAGATGTGCATTAGAGGTTTATGGCAATGGGGAAATAGTTCTCCCTTGTTCCCTCCTGGTAGATGGGGACGTAACCAGTTTCCTTCCTCAACACAACAGCCCAGTAGCCAGGGGTCCCTCCTTCCTGTGTAGCCTCTGCTCTGTGTGGTGTTGGGTGCCAGATATGCTACCCTCTAAGCTGGGTGCACATGCATTTTGCATCATTACATTTTTTATTGCTGTTGTTTGTTTTTGGGAGACAGCAATCATGCCCATATAGCCCAACCACATCTGTACCTCCTGTGGCTCCAATCACTGGACAAGTGTCACTCACTACTCATTCCTGTACCAGCAAATCAATAATAATCAGCAGTCAACATCAGATAACCCTGCCCTGAACTATGCTACACAAATAGCAAATGGAGAACTGTGTCCACATTTCCAGTATCTATCACATCCACCAGAAGACAGGTGGTGAGTGTTTGAAAACACACTAAGATACAATTATCAATTAAATATAAACACAAAGACACTACAATATCTCAGAGACAACAATTTCAGCTTACTTGAAGAAACAATAAAGAGTGCCTCAAACAAATAAATGGCTGAACTACAGAGTCGGAAAATATAATACCAGAAGTGGTGTCAGAACTACTTGATAAAGAATTTAAAAGTATGATATTTAGGTGCTTTTGATGGATTTAAAGAATGATAGAAAACAAACAAACAAAGAAAACTTTGCAGATGAAATCAAGGAAAACATAGACAAAGAATTCAGAAAACACTACTAAAGCAAATTGAGAAAATAAATGAAAAATTACAAACCAAACAAAAACAACAAAGACAAATCCAGAAGACTGACACTAAGACTTCAGAAATAGATAATCTATTGAAAGAGCAAAGAAATAGAACTGAATCAATAGAAGGCTTGATTAATGAACTTGAATACAAATTTCTCTGTATTCATCTGCTTGCAGGATAACCAGAAAAAGAAAAGAAAGATTCAAAGAAAGGCTAAGATTTATGTGGGACACTGTTAAGAGGAATAACTTACATGTGATTAGAATTCCAGAACAGGAAGAGACAAAACATGCATACACACACAAACACACACATGCAGAGAAAGATGATTGTTGAAGAATTGTTAGAAGAAAACTCCCCTAATATCCGGGAAACTAGAAGATATGCATTTATGAAGTTGGAACAAACTCTAAACAGGATAACTCCCAAAAGAAAATCACCAAGATATAATTAAACTTCCCAAAACTAAAGACAAGGAAAGATTACTGGGAGAAGCTCAGGAAAACTGAGAAGAGAACTGAGACTAAGCTCTGATTTCTCAGCAGAAACTATGTAAGCAAGACAATATAATGACACATATGAAATGCTGAAAGAGAAAAAAATGCCAGCCAAGAATCATATGCCTTGCAAAATTGTTCATAAATAAGACAGCAAAATCTGGACATTTCCAGATAAATAGAAATTAAAAGAATTTGTAAAATCAGACCAACCTTACAAACAGTACTAAAGGGAATTTTTTGGGTAAAGAACCAGTAACAGCAGACAGCATCCTTAAATTAACATACATGACCATATCACCAGAACTCAACCAGATGTTTTTGTTGTTAGGTGACATTGAGTTGGTTCCAACTCACAACAACTCTGAGTAGGGTTTCTGAGGCTGTAAATCTTTAAGGGAGAATAAAGCATCATCATTCTCCTATGGAGTAGTTGGTGGAACAGTCTAGTGTTTTTATCCTACAGTGCCACCTAGTGCTCCTTCAACCTAGACATTGAAGTATCTGAAGTAAAACAACCCTACAAGACTGAACTACGGAACCAGAGATAGAGGTGTGCAATCAAAACAAAACCACAAAAAACCCACAAAGTAAAAAGAGGAAATAATGTAATTACATATTTTATAAATAAAAGAAGGAATCAAGTAGATTTTAAAATAAATAAATAAATAAATATAAACCTAACCATAACTCACTAATCTTTGCCAAGAAATTTGGAAGACAGCTACTTGGACAACCAATTGGAAGAGATCCATATTTGTGTCCATTCCAGAGAGGTGACCCAGAAGAATGTGGAAATCATCAAACAATATCATTAATATCACACACAAGTAAAATTTTGCTGAAAATAATTAAAAACTGGCTGCAACCCTACATCAACAGAGAACTGCCAGAAATTAAAATCAGATTCAGATGAGGTTGTGGAATGAGGGATATTATTGATCATTGCTAATGCCAGATGGATCGTGGCTGAAAGCAGAGAATACCAGAAACTGTTTATTTCTGCTTTATTGATTATGTAAAGGTTTTTTACTGGTATGGATCATGACACTTCTTGGACAACACTGCAAAGAATGAATATTCCAGAACACTTAATTGTGGTCATGAGGAATCTGTACAGAGACCAAGAGGCAGTTGTTCAAACAGAACAAGGGGATACAGAATGCTTTAAAATTAGGAAAGGTGTGCACCAGGGTTATATCCTTTCACCATATGTATTCAATCTGTATGCTGACAAATAATCTGAGAGGCTGGATGATATGAAGAACGTGACATCAGAATTGGAGGAAAACTCATTAATAATCTGTGATATGCAGATTATACAACCTTGCTTGCTGTATGTAGGTCTGGGCAGTGTTTTGTTCTATCATGCACAAGGTTGCTATGAGTCGGAACCAACTCATTGGCAACTAACAATAACAACTATAACCCCAAAACTAGACCAAGCTTTACTCCTAGGTCTAGCCCAACCTCTATCCCTAACCTTAATACTGACCTCAGTCCTGACCATAACCCTAACACTAAGTAAAGTCCTAGGCTAACCTAGACCTAGCCATAGTCCTAATCCTAACTCCTTACTCCTATTTATCCCCAAGAAAAATACATCAATAAAAAAGCTTTCACAAATTATAATCTCTTAAAAATTTTTACCCTTTCAGTGCCTCTACTTTCTTATCCGTAACATGGGATAACACCAATAGTAGTTACCTGAGAGGGGTGTTGTGAGGGATAAATGAATTAATAGTTAGAAAGCACTTGGAACAATGCCTCTGGAATATAGTACTTGCTCTAGAGAAGTTCAGTTTGGGGTATATTTAAGTTAAACCTGTGTATTAAGTAGCTCTCAAGTGTCAGAGGTAAAGCTCTTTTTATAAGACTTGAGCATAGATTTCAGATGTGAGGACATTGGTAGGGGAGAGAAGCCTTTGGCTGTGATCATGTTAGTGGCGCTGCTGATGACACTGAATACAACACTGTGCTGAGTGCTTTATATTTAGCGATGTATTTAATCCAGCCTTCTTTGGTGACTCTGTGAAGAGAATAAGTATATTTCTTGTGCTAGTGATGACAGAACTGAGTGCCAAGAGATTAAGGAACTGTGATGGAGCAAGGATTTGAACTCAGAACTGAGGGACACCAAGCTTGATGATGTACTACCTCCCTACCTGTTGTTCATGTGATCAGGGTTTTGGGAGGCGAATGGGGAGTTGTTGGATGGCTTGTTACCTGGATAAGGTCATAGAGCTTTTGAAACCTACCCACTGAAGTCTTTCCTGGTCCTCCTCTTCCCCAGGATCCAGTAAGGAGCGTTCTATATTCATGAAGGCCTCCCGGAGGATGCTGGGCCAAAGAAGGACCTCTTCACCCTTCCTGGACCTGCTGGGGTCTGGGGGCGTGGAGAATCAGCCAGCACAGCTGCAGCTCCACCTGGCCAGGACGCCCCAGTGGGGCCAGGACCTACTGCTGACACTGCATGCCCGTCGGGTGTCAGACATAACCCACCCCCAGGGCCCCATCTGGCTGGTGTTTCGCTTCTGTGCACAGACCATGTTGCACGGTGGATTCACCCGAGAGCCCCTCTGGAGGCAAGTGGTGCGCTTGAATCTGGACTTTGGGCAGGGTGAGTATGAAGCAGGATTGGGGGAACTTTGGATGAAGAACATGGGGCAGGCCCAGCATGTTCACACAATAGCACTGCCACACACACACACATACAGCTGTGAAGCTGCTGTTGGTGGGAGGTCAAATATCAGGTGGTGTCATGCCACTAGTTGAAACATAGCAGTGACCTCTGGGGGCAATCTGTGCAGGATAAATGCTCACACTCACATACATACACACAGACATATTCTTGCATACATGTGGACTATACATCACCCTTTCTCACACACAAATTCTATTTTTTCCCTCCCTCTTGTAAACATTTTCTCTCTCTTTCCTTCTCATTATAAGACCCACTCTCTGCACTCTGAATGTTTTTGTCTCTGTGTAGTGATACAGTGGCCTCTCCTGCTGCCCTACAACAGTTACAGAAACAGGCTGACGGATGAAAAGTTGATCCGTGTATCCGGTATCGCCAAGGTTGAGGAGACGGGGAGGTCCATGCTGGTCATGAAAGATATCTCTCTGGAGCCTCCCCACTTATCTATTGAGGTGAGGCCACTAGACAGAGATGGTGCCCAGGGCTCTCTGACAACCCAGCATTTACTGAGCCCCTGCCTGTCAGCCAGGGGTCTGACTTCAGATAAAACCGAATCTTAAAATGCAGTGTGTGGTGGTCTCGATACAAAGTGTGGGTGGGCATGAAGGCTTCTCAGAGGAGGTGAAATTCTGTCAGAGATTCATAGGAAGACAAAGTATGGGGCAAGGAGGTGAGACTAAGAAGTAAGAAAATAGACTGGCAAAGAGACATCAAAGACAGCACCTGGGAGATGGAGCAGAGAAGCCAGATTTGAGAGTTAACATAAGATGGAATTCAACAGGTGAGTGGTGATAAAATGGTGATGACAACAAAGAAGTTCACGGTGAGACTCATTTCTGGTTCGGATGCCTGGGTAGTTGATAGGATCTCTAAATGAGAAAGGAATTGCAGGTGGAAACAGGGTAAATGAGAAGGGGCAAACACTGCTCCTCACTCCTGTTTCCAGGATTTTCATTCCCCTGAAGCCTCTTCCTTACCTTGCCCACTGCCTAATCCAATCCTGGCACTGTATCTGGTAGGACCATCAGCAGCATGCCTCACCTTCATATCATAAATCACCTGCTAGCCCAACAGTTTTCAGCTGGGCACAGTGTCAGGCTGTGGGGCTGGAGGACAGCGTACAGCCTCTGTGGTGGGCCAACAGAGAAAAGAACCATAAATGCAGACATAAACCTGGTGAGGGCCCTGCCCTTTACCACAGAAGCCTGGTTCCAAGAGGATCTTGATGCAAACAGATCAGATGTCAAGGAGGCTATTAATTAGTTGCCACCGATAAGGGTCCTGGGGAAGGCTTACGTGACTATGCTGGATTCCATAGTTAATTTAACCTGTTCTACTTTGACATTCGGGCTGCGAACCTTAAGGTCAGCGGTTCGAAACTACCAGCCGCTCC